CATTAACATTAATTTACAATGTGAATGAATTTATCTGAGGCTTCGTTTTCACGGCAGCTTGCAGTATATCAAAATTATTTATCTCTTCTCTCCGTATATAAATTTTATAGTAAAAAAAAAGAAAATAAAGCTTGGTCATAAGAATTAGCTTTTTTTTGCCTTGTAAGAATTATCTAAGGATTTTATATAAAAAGAATATATAAAAAAAATTTTCTAATGGAGCTTTGGGTACATTCGACGCATGCCTGCATTTCTTGGCAAAATTTCAGAAATATCAAAAATATCTTTAACCAGTTTTGATAAATACTTTGATGAAGTAATATGTCTGTTATAATGATGAAGCATTGCCTTTAAATCTTGTTTATACAAATCTGATGTCAATTGTGAATCTGTTATCAAGGAATTAATTTGTCATTCTGGATTGCTGTCGACCAGATCTATACGAGTAATCCTGCCTGATTAATCAGATAATAATTAATTTGATTTGATAATAGTTTGTACCACACTAAACCCAATATTGATCATGCTTTTTCAAATATCCCAAACATACCCATCAGCTTCTGTCGGCAAAATCAAAAAAAAGTGTTATGAGTGGTTTTAATCAGAATTTGTAAATTTCTCAAGCAAATGGTTTGTTACATAAAATTTAAAAATAGGTATTTTGTTACCTAAATTGATCAACTCATCAGTTCAAAAAGGAGTCTTTTTCGGCAAATGGGTTGGATAAACCATCAGTCCTATATTCCGGAATGCAATCTTGCATTCCGGATCAAAATTTGCCAACATTATTATTCATTTAGTAACATTTCGCATAATTACACGAATCTTCCTACAGATTATTTAAAGAAAAGAATAACAGAAACTATGATAATACCGATTTATGAAATGATCAGGAACAATGTGAAAAGTAATTCGATCGGTTTTCAACTTGAATATATCCGTCTACTTCTGTCACATTTTTTTTTCTGAATTCGTTTTCATTTCCCTTTTTTGAAATTTAGCACTATATTCAACAGTTTAAATCATTCATGTGCATCCTTCAAGGTACATTAATTCTTATTATTTGATAATTTTTCCATTCATCTTTAATCAAGATGTGCAAAAGGATGTATATATTCGAGTGGTCGAAATTTCAATAGTATCAGTTCTATAATGTAACATTCGAGAACTTTACTTGACAACTATTCTGGCATCTTGTTAGCTTATCATTAATAAATTCCGCAATTCCGGAAATCCGCAGTTGGAACGTACTTTGGCTGACACTCGAAACCATCACACTACCGGTCAAAGTATAGTAAGTCAACAGGATCGCTCGAATGATGAGTATCCCTCAGAAAAATTTGACATCTTGGACGATCCAGATGGCGACATCTTCGATTATCTTAACATCCCCGACGATGTTGTTGTTCATATCGAAGATATTAACATGGAAAACTTCAAAACCGACAACCCCGATGGTAATATCTTCGAATGTTAGCATCCCCGACGATGCCAACATCCTGATTACAGATATTTCCGAACGCACAATAAACTATTTCGTTATCAATGCAAATATCCCGGTTGTGGGAAGGAATTCCAGAGTAAATTATCATTTTCCATACACAAGGAACTCTATCAACACAAACCCCCGAGGGAAAACTTCCTCAGTTTTAAGAAATCGCTGAGAAGACACAAAAAATATTCCGGCAGAGCTTCTCAGTTTTGTACATTCTGCAATGTTCTTAGCATTTGTTTGTCTACCTGCAATGAAAGCAAGTGAAAATATGTTAGGAAATATCTGTGACCGTAGGGTCACAAGAAATTCTGTCAACAAAAACCTCAGAGTAAAAACTTCCCAGTAATAACAAATTATTGAAAAGTCCTGCAGAGCTTCTCGGTTTTGCAAATTCAGCGGAGTTTTTAGCACTTATTTATCAACCTGAAATGAATGAACAATAAAGTGATATCTAAGCAATGTTCATTCTAGACCCAAGGGAAGAAAATCCACAGTTGAAACATATTTTGGCAGATACACAAAACCATCACACTACCGGCCAAAGTTCAGTAAGTCAACAAGATCGCTCGAATGATGAGCATCCCTCAGAAAAATTTAACATCTTGGACGATCCCGATGCTGACATCTTCAACTATCTTAACATCCCCGACGATGTTGTAGTTAATATCGAGGATATTAACATCGACAACTCTAATGGTAATATCTTCGAATGTTAGCATCGCCGACGATGGCAACTTCCTCGACGACTTCAAAATATTTTGCCATCAATGAAAACTGTCTGCTTGCAGTGTATCAAAATTATTTTCTCTTCTCTCCGTATATAAGTTTTGCAGTAAGAAAAAAACTTTAGTCTGAAAATTTAACTTTCTTTTTTGCTTTGCAAAAATTATCTAAGGATTTCATATAAAAGGGTTTTCCATTGAAGCTTTGGGTACATTCGACGAATGCTTGCGCTTCTTGGCGAAATTTCGGAAATATCAAAAATATCTTTAACCAGTTTTGATAAATGCTTTCATGAAGTAATTTGTCTGTTATAATGATAAAGAATTGCTTTTAAATCTTGCTTATACAAATGTGATGTCATTAGTGAATCCGTTAGCAAGGAATTAATTTGTTATTCTGGATTGTTGTCGATTAGAGCTATATCAGCCATCCCGCCCGATCAATTTGATTATAATTAATTAGATTTGATAATAAGTTTGTGCCACACCAAACACATTGTGGATCATGCTTTTTCAAACATCCCAAACATAACCATCAGTTTCTATCAGCGAAATCAAAAAAAAGTGTTATGAGTGGTTTTAATCAGAATTCGTAAATTTCTCAAGTATATGATTTGTTACATAAAATTTAAAAAACAAATATTTTGATACCTAAATTGATCAACTCATCAGTTCAAAAAGGAGTCTTTCTTGGCAAATGGGTTGGATAAACCATCAGTCCTATATTCCGGAATGCAATCGTGCATTCCGAATTTATTAACATTATTATTCATTTAGTAACATTTTGCATAAGTACGTGAATCTTCCTACAAATTATTTAAAGAAAAGAATAACAGAATCTATGATAATACCGATTTATGAAGTGATCATGAACAATGTGAAAAGAAATTCGATCGGTTTTCAATTTGAATATATCCATCTATTTCCGTCGCAATTTTTTTTCCTCTAATAATAGATATCATTATCATTGAAGGATATAATTTTTAGTTAGTTTATCACAATTATTGATTATTGAAACGTGCCTAATCATTATTCATCTATTACAATGCATATATCTATATATAATATTAGCTTCTTAATATTCGTAAATAATACTACATAAATAGTTTACAAATATTATTTAAAATTTCTTAATTAATTTATAGTTTTTAGCTCTATCGTATATTCATTATGCTATTGTCATATCTTTATGCTATTGTCATATATTGATTAATTCAAATTAGTTCACTTTAAATTGCAGAAATGACAACAGTAGTCATTTTATCCCT